CTCTCTCTCTCTCTCTCTCTCTCTCTCTCTCTCTCTCTCTCTCTCTCTCTGTCTGTCTGTCTGTCTGTCTGTCTCTTTCTCAATAACCTGAAAGTGAGAATTCCAAAGAATATTCTATCTCGAATATTCTATACATCAAAAAGACGAATCTCGAGAAAAAAGAAAAAGAAAAGAATTTCTGATTTTTTATGTTCTTCTTCTTCTTCTTCTTCTTTTTGCTTTTTCCTTCTTTTTCCCCCACCAACCAACATGTTTATAGGCCAAATTGGCAAACGAATGTGTGCATTCTTATGCTGAGTAAGACAAGAAGAAAGAGCGGAAATGATTTAGAAAGATTTTCTCTTGTTTTTCTTTTTTACACAATTAGGGGCACATTTTATGTCTTGCAGGGTTTGTGGACCATAACTTTTTAAATCGATGGACTTGGAGGACAGCAACCAGATATTTAGATTTTGCAAGTCAAGAGCTTTAAAATGAGTATAAGCATGACCAATTTCGGGTTTGTTTTAATTGTCTTTTTCAGGTCTTTTGTTTCATTTTTCTTTTAAAACCCAAAACCCAAATTCAAACTTTCCTCCGAAATCCGCTTTTGCGCCAGCCTAGCTTGATTGACGCGTTCTGCGATCACTGCGCGCACCGAAAGTGTGTCAACAAAAAATGCCTTTTTCTATTATTTTCACCCGATTTTAACCCGAAAAACAAAGATTTTTTGCAGTTTTTCAGTGTAAAGTGCATTAAAAGATGTCGGAGGAGCTCGAAAACGTGCCAAAAGTCGACGCGGAGCCCGAGAAAATGGACGAATCGGTGGAGAAAGTGGAGGAGGAGCCGATAGAGGAGAAAGCGGAGGTTAAGGTGAGATTTTAATTGGTTTTTAAGCTAAAAATAGTGAAATTTTGCAGGATTTGGTGCCAGAAATGTATAGACTTCATGGTGGAGACCCGAGATTGGTGAATTTGAATTTGTGAGTGATGCAAATTTTTTGGAAAAAGTGCTAAAAATTCAATTTTCGCACTAAAAATGGTCGATTTTCACTGAAAAACTATCAGAAAATGCCCATTTTTCAGCTGAAAATTGGCAATTTCTAGCCGAAAAACTCTATGGAAATGCCCATTTTTCACAGAATTTTTGTTTTAAAATTGTATTTTTTTTTCAGCGCGGTTATGGTGAGCGGAATTCCGACGGATTTCATCAACGATAGCTATGAGCAGTTCGATGAGACTCTACGTACGATGCTCTGTGCGAGTCATAATTTGAAATCGGAGAACATTTTGAAGGTGAGAATTTATGCTGAAAACTAGTCAAAATCCAGGATTTTGGGCTTGAAAATCGTCAAAGTCCAGTGAAAATTCGATGAAAATTAATGATTTTTGAAGATTTTTGCCATTTTCCCTAGTATTTTCTAGCTAAATTGTAATAAAAATCCGATTTTCGAGACATCAAAATAGCCCTAAATCCGTTTTTTTATCTCGAAAACACTCATTTACGATCTTTACTGAGGCTCAGGCTGAAAAATATGAAAATTTCCAGAATTTTCGATACAAAAATCAATTTTCTAGGTTGATTATTAAAGGAGGCCAGACACCAAAAAAAAGTTTTCCTGATATTTTGCATAGAGAACCCCCATGAGGAGTTGAACTCATGACAGGCAGCTCAGGGGTACAGCGCCGCTACCGGCTGAGCTACGGGGGCGCGAAGGCGCCTGACGACCGATGGTCTACATCAGGCCTGTGCGGCAACAAAATTTTTTCGGCAATTCGGCAACTCGGCAATTTGCCGAATACTTTTCGGCAACGTTCGGCAACTCGGCAATTGCCGAAAAAAAATTTCGGCAATTTTCGGCAACAAAAGTTTTGCGTCTTTTTTAAGTAAAATCGATACGTAACTCATCTGAAAATGCTTCTATCAGGCTCAGAACTACAGAAAATGTGTGTTCATAAGTTCTTTAAAAAAGTAATTACAAAAACTGGCAACTCAAGACCACATTTTTTTATGCAAACTATTTCTCTTTAGCAATAGAGGGTATTCCAATGGTTGAAAATATTTGTTCCGATTGTGAGTTTTGAAAATAGTGCGCTCAACCTGTTAGGTAACTCACGACACACGTTCCCTAGAGATTTGAGACAGATGGATAATTTTTTGATGAGTTGTGACTCATGATATCTATTTTCTCCTATGCTCACATATTTGAAGCCCATTTTTAGATCCGATGCAAGTATTTTTGATGATTATTGGGACACATTTCCTCTAAAATTCACTCTGAGGGATGATGGATTCAAATTTTGATTTTTCGAACTTCGAAATCATTTTTTTTTGACTAAAAAAATTGTGGAAATCTCTAAATTCAAAAAAATTTCAGTTGCCGAAATTGCCGAATTTTTTTTGCCGAAATCGGCAACGGCAATTCGGCAATTTCGGCAATTCCGGCAATCGGCAATTTGTTGCCGCACAGGCCTGGTCTACATAAGCGCGGCGCGATTCCTTCCCCCGGAATGCCCCCGAAATTTTTGCTGTCTCGCCTCCTTTAAGAAAGTTATGGACATTTTTAGTTTTACTGAGGCTTAGGATTTTTACTGAGGCTTAGGAATTTTTACTGAGGCCTAGGATTTTTTACTGAGGCTTAGAAAACTTGTAAAAAAATGTTTTTTGAAAATTTTTAGGAAAATAAATAATTTGCTTCATTTTTTCAGATCATCCGAATCCCAGTACTCGAGGAAGGAGACAATAAGGTAGGGTAATGATAAAAATTGCGAATTTTCAGGTCAAAAATCAGCCGTTTTTGGCGGATTCTGGAGCTTTCAAGTGCTAAACTACCGAAATATCCGAGAAAATGGCTATTTTCAGTATAAAAGTTGCTATACATCCACTGAAATCAGCGGAAAATCCTCAAAATTCCGGGGGGTTTTTTTCCCAAGAAGGAAAACTTCTCGTCTACATTGGAATTTTGAATTTCTAATAATAGAATAATTCCCCCATCACATCATCTGCTAAATTATTCCAGAACAACGCTCTCCGAGCGCTTATCTGCTTCTCAGACAAAATCCAGCAGTGTCGTTGTCTGGCTCGCAAGAAGGCGTTCGAGGATGAGAAGCAGCGAGTGGAGGCGATAGACGCGCTCCCCGAAGCCCTGCTCTTCATCAGTGACGAGGATCGTCAGATTCTAGAAGACGGCGTTCACGAGAGGCCAGAAGGCGGCGATGATGAGGATGATGTGGTTGGTGAAGAGGTGGATGAGTTGGAATTGGAAGAAGACGATGAGGAAGAAGGGCACGATGAGCATGAAGAGGATTCTGAGGCGGATGGAGACGCGAAAAAGGACGAAGAAGCGGCGGATAGTGAAGGAGGAGTCAAGAAGAGCTCTGATGCTAAAGGTTCGCAGTTTTGTCGATTCAAGACGTTCTTCAGTCAAAAATACAGCGATCGGAAGTGAATCTGAAAGGATTTCTCTGAGAAAACTGTAAAAATGGCATTATGAAGAATATCAAAGGGGTTTTGTGGGAATATATGGCTGAAAATTTTACTGGAAAGTAGATTTGTCACAGAAAACCTTTTAAAAAAAGGAAAATCAGGCGCTTCTCTAGACTCCAAATAGAGAAATATACTTTTCTGGCCTTTTTCATATTTTTCAAGATCGAAATTTTGAAAAACTGGGTGGAAGCTCTAGATTTGGAAATTCCATGTTTGGTAGCTGAAATTCTCCGGCTTTATTGAATAATTTTCGCTGGAAATTAGATTTTTCAAGAATAAAAACAGAAGGAATTCATTCAAAAAGAAAAAGCAGGCGCTTCTTGACTCTCCGAACACCGAAAAAATGTTCTGGCCTATTAGGCCTCTCAGGGTTTATATAGGCCTTTGAAGTCTTATATAAGCCGGTCCGGTTTGGCTGAAATTGTGAAATACCGCTGAAAATTTGGTTTGTCCGGAAAGCCTTGGAAAAAAAGGAAAATCAGACGCTTCTTGACTTCTTAACAACGAAAAAAATTGTTCTGGCCTTTTAGGCCTTTTTTATACTGTTCAAAATCGAAATTTGGGAAAAAGGCTTTTTGGAAGCTTCCTTATTTTCTTGGTTTAAAAAAACCATTATTATGCCGATTTTTCAAAAATCTTGCTCATTTTTCTGAAATTAATCAGATCGTACGGTCCGGATCATTAGAAATCGGTCGAATAGGCCTAAATGTTCGAAATTCAAGCTTGAAATTGCGGTTCTATCGAAGACGAAGACTATGGAGAGTTCTCTACTGCTCCAGATCATTTATTTCCCACTTTTTTATTGTTTTTCTCAAGATCCCCTCCCTCTACAAGTCTCTAAAATTCTTGCAGAAGGCGATAAGAAGGCGGCCGAGGTAGCCAAGAAGCCAGAACCACCAAAGAAGAAGGTCTACGAGGATGAGGACGAGAAGGCGCCGTTCGAGATGGTTTGGGAAGGAGCGCCAGAGTTTCAGTGGAGATGTATGTGTCTTTTTAGACTTAAATAGAAGCTTATCTCGATTCCTGTGAAAGGATATCAAAAATTTGTCAACTGATAAAGTGTTTATCATAACAACACAAAATTTTATCAGTTGAGGCATTTTTGATATCTGTCACAGGAATCGAGATAATCAAGCTCAAAGTTGGCGGTTTTGGTGCCCTTTTAATACAGGTTCCATGATTCAATTTTGATCTTTCCAGTGTGCGAAGGAAATCGTGACGAGAAGAAGCTGATCATCGAGAATCTGATGTGGTCCGATCTCAACGACGTCTTCATCTACCGTACTATTCAGAAGGCCACTTCTGTCGAGATCAACTTTCCAGCTCGATTCTCCGGAGAGGGAAGTCGTCAGATATTCGGAAAACTCGTCCTCCATTTTCCGGCATTCGTTGCTATTATGGACGAGGCACTGAAACATTTGATCTACTTTAGAAGTGGAGACGCCAGACGAATCAAAGTGTTCCTGCCACAAACTCAGGTGTCGTTGAAGCGAAAGGAGGAGTTTGAGGGGAAACTGGGAAGATTGATAAAGCCGACGCCACGGATGATGGAGCTGGTGATCAAGACGTTGCCAGAGGGATACACTCCAACGTTGGATAATGCATGTGAATGGTTCCCGGATCAATCGGTGATTGGGTGTGAATTGGTTAAGGATGAGATGGGGTAAGAGAATTCCGTGAAATTTAGCATTAAATTGCCTAGAAAGTTCGGTGATCTGAAAAAAAGTGCGGTTTCGGGACAGTTTTTGTGAGAAAATGACTAAAAATTGAGAATTTTCAGCCCAGAATCCAGCTAGAATTCTCATTTACATTCAGAATGATTTTTGAGCATTCTGGGTCATTTTGGAGCCTTTTGAAGCCAGTTTTCAACTGAAATAGAGCTTTTGAAGCTCAAAATGTTTCAAAACTCCAGAAATTTCATTTCCGGTCAATTTTGAGCATTTTGGGGGGGGGGGGGTTTCAGTAAAGAAAAGGAATAATTTCAGCATGAAATCCAGCTAAAATGCTGTTTTTTTAGCCAGAATGATTTTTTGAGCCGTTTGTAGAGATTTTCAGCTTTGAAATATGTTAAAGTGTCATTTTCCGCTAAATGCGGAAAGTTTCAGCTTGAAATTTCATTTTCAATCACTTTAGAGCATTCCGAGTCAAATGTGGAGCATTTTCATGCTCATTTTTCATTCAGAATGATTTTCGAGCATTTTAGAGCCTTTTGGAGCCACTTTTGCGATAATTTTAGCTCAAAAACGACTTAAAATGCTCAATTTCGATTGTATATCCATTTGGAGTAGTCTAAGGCGTTTTGAAGACAATTTTCAGCTAAAAATCGAATTTTTGAGATTTTCAAGCTTAAAATGACCCGAAAATCTTGAAGATTTGTTTCCAATCCATTCGGATCATTCTAGGTCATTTGAGAATACAATTGAGCATTTTGAGCATAAAATTCAGCTAAAATGCTCAATTTTCCATTCAGAATGATTTTCGAGCATTTTAGAGATGCTTAAATCAAGCTCTTTGTTGATTTTAGATCAAAAACGACTTGAAATGCTCAATTTTCATTCTAAGTCCAATATTTCCAGAAGCCCATGCGTCATCGTGAAGTTCGAGACCGCCCAAGAAGCCGTCGCCGCCCATGCGAGCCGTTCGTTTGTTTTTATCCGTCATAAGGAAGCTAAAAAGAACGCGGCCGGAGAGCCAGAAAAAGAAGGAGAAGAAAAGAAGGATGACGAGGAGAAGAAGAATAAGAATGAGCAATCAGAAGAACGAGAGAAGACGACGAGATGTAATGTGTTCATGAGAGGAGGTAAGGATGAAAATTGGATTTGAAATGAGCCAGAATTGGCTGAAAAATGCTTTAATCTTTGCTGAAATTGATCTGAAAATCGCTAAAATAGGGGTTAGAAGTTAGGCGTAATTCGAAAATTAGGTGCAAATGAGCCAAATTTGATTTGAAACGCTTTTTTTTAAAGCTAGAATTGCCGTAGAAAGTGTTGAAATTGATCTGAAAATCGCTGAAATAGGGCTTAAACTCCAAAAGAAAGGCCGAAAGGTCCCAGAAGAGCCACAAATGGTAAAAAATAAAAATCTGAAAATGTTCAATTTTGATCCCCAAATACACATCTAGTTCAAAATATTTTAAATTTTTTTTCAAAAAATTGGATTTATTTGCAAAAACAATTGAACAGCTGCCCCACCAGAATAATTTTGAGTCAATCGAAACAAACTTTTTGGATTCCTTCCCCTATTTTTTCATCATTATTTGCTCAAACCGCCGCCGCCACCCACCCTCTACCATGACCTATGTACCTTTCCCTCATCTTGTATAAATACCACAGAATTTGTGAGGAAACACACGTAGTCTTGGTTTTATTTTTTAGGTAGTTATCTAAAATTTTCAGACTGAAATTTTGAGATTTTAGTGTCCCGAAATGTTCTTCACGAAATTTCAGTCATTTTGGTACAAAAATCATGTTTTTAAGTTGATTTTGAAGCGATTTATGGCAAGTTGAATTTTTTTACAGAGGCTTATGGAATTTTTACTGAGGCTTACGGAATTTTTACTGAGGCTTACGGAATTTTTACTGAGGCGTAAGAACGTTTTTACTGAGGCTTAGAAATTTTTACTGAGGCTTAGGAGTTTTTTACTGAGGCTTAGGAGTTTTTTACTGAGGCTTAGGAGTTTTTTACTGAGGCTTAGGAATTTTTACTGAGGCTTAGGGATTTTTACTGAGGCGTAAGAACGTTTTTACTGAGGCTTAGGAGTTTTTTACTGAGGCTTAGGAGTTTTTTACTGAGGCTTAGGAGTTTTTTACTGAGGCTTAGGAATTTTTACTGAGGCTTAGGGATTTTTCGGAGGCTTAGGGATTTTTCGGAGGCTTAGAAAACTTTAAAAACTTCTTTCTTTCAGTCGAAGCCCACTTCGGATCCCTCATCACCTACTATGATCAACGTCGTCGTACGGCGGAACAACAGCGTCAGGCTCGTCAGAAGCGTCAGTCTACCGTAGCACCTGCGCCGAAACGTCCAGCCGGCTCGACGATTCGTGGTCCGGTTCTAAAGAAGCGTGCTCCATCGCCATCGAAACGAGGAGGGGGTGCTCCAGAGAAATCATCGACGCCACGTGGCGGATCGAGTGCTCCGAGAAGAGGACCGACGAGCGGTGGGCGACGTTCATCGCCACCGAGATCAGGAGGATCCCGACCATCGCCACGTGGAAGTTCGTCGTCGAGAGGTGGAGGAGGAGGTCATCCAAGAGGAGGACCAAGAGGCGGACGTAGTGATCGTGGAATGAGTCGATGTGAGTAAAAATTGCCAAAATTAGACAAAAATAATTGAAATTGAGCTTAAAATTTTAGACAAAAAAAGTCTAAAATTCGCTAGAAACGGTCCAAAACTCGCCAAAAATGATCTAGAATTCATTAAAATGGCTCGAATGACCAACTTTTGGACCATTTTAACCCATTTTAGGCTGATTTCGGACCATTTTAGACCCGGTTTGGATAATTTTAAGCCTATTTTAGAATCTTTTAGGCATATTTCAGACAATTTTTAGCGATTTTTAGACTATTTTTAGGCCTATTTCGGATCATTTTGGGCATATTTGGTACCATTTTCAGTGGATTTTGGACCGTTTTCGGCCGTTTTTGGACCGCTTTCGTCCAAATTTTGGCCATTTGATACCTGCGTCTCTAAACTAGAATCTAGTCTTTGAAATTTTTGTTTATTTCAATAAATATTTGTCATAATCCCTCAAAAATGACATCTGGATACTTTTTTTCTCCTTCGAGTTCCCCGATCCATCATAATCCCTTTTTTCAGCCACTCAACGCACCCATTCCTACCGAAACGACTCCTTCTCCTCATCGACATCATCGCAACGAGCTCCGCCGAGAGCCGACGCCTTTGCCGGATATGGATAGTGAGTTTAAATACATATCTTATTCAATTTGAGGGGAAAATGCCAGAAATTTGATTGTTTCGGGTATGAAATCTTGAATTTTAGAGGATAAAACCTTGAAAGTTAGTGAATTTTGACTCTGAAAATGCTTCAAAACCTGGGAATTTCAGTTCAGAATTCGCTAAATTTCGAATTCGAACTAGAAAATCCCCTTTAGCACATTTTACCTATGAAATTTCATCATAATCCTGTCATCGTTCTGCCTGAATTTATATATTTTACATATTCCAGCATTTCGTGCATAGAATTCATTAGTTTCCTCCTTTACGTAGTCAGATCCTCTCGTGTTTACCGGAAATGAGCCTTTTAAAGTATGAAAACATTCATAATTTATTCATTTCCTGACTAATGATTCTTACGAAATATAGGGGAATCTTCTAGAAATTCTAAAGCTGGAAAATCGAAAAATTGGATTAACATATACTTCAAATGAGAATTTCATACTCTAAAAGTTGAGAAAATCGTAAATTCAGAAGTTTGACTATTCTAGATTGGAAATTCTCAACAAAAAAATTTCAGCCTGAAATCAAAAAAAAAAAACCTAAATTTGAGCTATAATAGCCTAAATTTCCCCTAAATTTAAGCCTAAATAGCCTAAATTTGAGCTGTCTGGACCAGAAAAATACATATCTATTCCATTTTTCAGCGCCCAATTCGATCGCGCCTATAACAGTGGAAGCGGTGGAGGACAGGATCGTCCATCAGTCGATCCATTCGGACGTCCGATGTATTCAGGTAAGAGGGTTTTCAGAGAAACTTGGGGGGAAGAAACTGAAAAAAATGACCCAAAATTGAAAACAAAGACTTAAAAACACGGAAAAATGACCCAAAACAACCCTAAAAATCACCAAAAGTTGGAAAAATGGCCTAAAAACACTAAAAAGCTGACCCAAATCACCTGAATAATGATCTGAAAATTGGGAAAACGACTTTAAAAACTCAGAAATGGAACCTGAAAAATTAGAACAATCACTTAAAAAATAATAAAAAATGATCTAAAAATTAGAAAAATGGCCTGAAAATGAGGAATTCCAAGAATTGGCTAATAAAGTTCAAAAATGATATCATAATATTTACCGGGAAAAATGTTGCAAAAGTTGCTTTTTTATTAGAAAAGAAGAGCATCATCTCACTATTGTGTGATAAGGACTCCCTGGAATTATGATTGCACACATAGCTAAAACAAACTTTAACACCTATTTAGCTGCTCCGTTTGTAGAGCGTAAAATGAACTCATTTTATGTGTAAATTGACACAGAATTGTCAATTTTCGAGCTGAAACTCGCTATTTTTGACAGTTCAGGCGTTATAATTGAGCTGAAAACCACATTTAGAGCTAAAATTAGTCTTGGAACCATGATTATTGAAGCCAGAACATTGACAATGCCATTTTGGAGTCATTTTTCTTATTTTTCTAGATATAGGGGCCCTAAAATGTCATTTTTGGAGTCATATGTAGTTTTGGAACCATGATTTTTGGAGTTATACGGATGAAAATGTCATTTATAGAGCCATTTTTCTTGTTTTTCTAGACAATTTGAGCACATATTTCTCCTATTTATCATCGTTTTTCTTTCAGTTCCCGCCTTCTCCAACTCGTCCTCATCGTCATTCCGTCATGACGATCATCGAGGAGGAAGCGGTGGTTTTGGCTCGTCGTCATCATTCGAGTGAGTTTTTCCCTTCCTTTCTTTATTATTGTTATTTTTGCTCTGGAATTTTCTAATTGAATTGACTCGCCCCTTCGCGGAAAATAAAGGGAAAAATAGGGATTTTTGGAATCAGAATTCAGGGAATTTCCAGTCGACTTTTGAGCCAAAAGCTCTGTCTTTGTGATAGTTCCCGAGAAACCCCTGGGACCCGTTTTTTTCTAATTAAATTGGCATTTTACTGGTTTCGCAAAGCTTCCAGGAGGAGGAAATTAATTTCCTCCTTCTCGCCTTCTACCCCATGAATTTGAAAATACGTGTAGAACCTAAAAGAGGAGGAGAATTAGGAATTAATTAGCTGCTCCAAAAGAATTTTCAATTAAGAAAAATTGCCAATTTAGACTAGATAGACACTTCTAATTTCTCAATAGTGACGGATTAGTGGAATTTGTAAGACGAGTACCTTTTTTTTCTCAGAGAATTTATGGTCATTTTCAGATAGGTTGAACCCTAGATTCGGTCTCTTTTTAGCCATTTTCAGTCATTTTTAGAGACAAAGGAACCTAGAATTTTGCTTTCCAGGAGAAAACGTGACTTTTTGAAAGTTTTCTTCCTGGGGGAAACTCTAGCTCCGATTTCCCACGAGTTTAGTTGAATTTTGACCCATTTTCTGGCTCATATACAGGGCTAAAATTCGGCTGAATTTTGACCTATTTTAAGGCAAACTTTAAACTAGCTTTCGAGACTAGAATTTAGCTAAATTATGGCAAATTTTTGGGCTCATTTTCAGGGCTAAATTTAGCTAATCTTTAATCCTTTTTTAGGCTCTTTACCAGGTCTAAAATTCAGTTTCTGCCATTAGAGATGTTCTAATCTCAATATATCCTTGACCGTTTTTCTACCTTTTTTCCCTCTTTTTCTTGATCCTATCCTCATTCTTCTATTTTCTTTTCTTTCCTCCGCCCGTGTTTCTTCATGACGCAATTCGTATCTCTGCGTCTCTCTCCAGCAGTCCCTCTATCTCTTTATCTCTAACTTTTCACGCACAGCCCGTATGGTTGTTGGTTACAAATCACTCATATATGAACCATAACAATTGGATGTTTCTCTGTAGATTTAGATTCATTTTCTGATGACCTCTTTTGCCAAGCCTTTATAGAAAAAAGAGTGAAATTGGAAGAGAAAATAACGAGAAGACGTGCGAAAAGTGACTAGAAAATACACTTTTTTCTTCTTCAGAGAGACGTAGAGATAGAATTCTGATGAACACTTGATTCTTTGGGTTTTCTCTGGGTGGCCTAATGGATTTTTGGCTATTTTAACGCTATTTTTGAACTAGATTTGATTGAAATTCTGTACTAATTACGAAATTACTGCTCAACTAGAGCTTGCCTTAATTCCAGTAGGTTTAGATTCAGATTTCATATAGTTCAGATTCATTTTTAAAGCATTCGCAAAGTTTCAGCTTTTTTCTCCTTCAAAATTCCGACCTGTCTACGTCACACTTGCCCTCCTACTCCTTATCAGATTCTCCTTGTCAGACTGCTCATATCTCACCTACCATACCCCTCTAGGGCTCTTCCAGCAACCACTAAGCTCCGCCTTCCTGGCGGCTACTGACTTCTAGGAGCCTTAGGAATTTTCATTTGATTTATTGCTGAGCATCATCATCATCATCTTCTTCTATTCTAACCAATCGTCTACTTCGTGAAGGAGGAGCAGGCTCTAGACTCCGCCTCCTTTTCTCCGGCGTGTCTTATTTCACCGGAAATGTCCACTATATCATACGTCTTCTCGATTTTTGTTGGCGTTAGAGCCATCAGGTGTGCTACGGAATTTCCGCAATTCGAGTCAAAATTGCTATCAATGACCCTAGCAGAGCATCTGAATCCTTAAGATCCTTAGAATCCAGAAATTCTAATCTAGAACATCCTTGAAAGGATGTCTAATAGATAGGACACACTATCTCCTTGACCACATCATCTCTTCTGACTGTGTCCTTTGTAGTTTTTATGATGATTAGACCCCGAGGAGACACACAACGAACACATTTTCCTTCATTTTCTACGGTCTTTTCTCTTTTCTACGGTTTTCTAGTGATGATGATTGGCTATAAACCACACAACCTGATTCATGTTTGAGAGGTGTTTGCCTTTTCATTTTTTGTGTCTCTAGATTAAATTGTAGGCCTCTCTCTCTCTCTCTCTCTCTCTCTAATTCTCTCTTTCTCGTGGAATTTAGAGAGGAAGTGGGAGATCGAAAACATCTGATTTTTTGTGATTTTATTGATGATTTGCGGTTGGCATTCGAAAAATCCGTGTTTTGAATACATTTTGGGTGTTTTTAAGCCGAAAATTGCGATTTTTAATTCGTTAATCTTCAATTTTATGTTTTTTCCAGTCAAAATTGGGTATGTTTCATCTGTAAATTTTAGACTTTCTCGGGCTAAAATTGATGAATTTCAAGTCAAAACTAGAATTATTGGATTTATTGCCTTGAAAACTATTATTTTAAAGCTGAAATTTGCTATTTTCAAGTCTAAATTACGATTTTTAAATCTTGAAACTTTCAATTTTCTAGTCGAAATTTCAGATTTTTTGAGCTAAAATTAATGAATTTCAAGTTAGAGATGCCGAAACTACCGTATACCTCCTAGAATTCTGCTATTTTTTTCTATAAAAAGTACTGGAAAATCCTCAAAGTTCACTTTCTCCTTCACAAAACTAGATTTTTGCCTCCTCATTTTTCTTCTTCTTCCAATTCAAAAGCGTTCATTCTCAATCCTTTCTTTTTTGCAGCAATCGTCGTCGCTACTAGACGTCGTCAACGTCTCCAAGTCAAACCCCCATCACAATGGAAAAATGCACTATAATATATATATATTTTTTTAAATATTTGTTGCTTCTGTACACCATTTTTTATCCATTGTATTCCTCTAGATCTCAGTTTCTCTGAGGTCTCCTCTCTTTGTTATTCCTTTAGAGATTTTTGGGATTTTTGAGCTGAAATTGCGAGTTCTGCGCTGAAAACACCAATTTTTGAGCTGGAATTTGGCTATTCTTGGCTCTGAAATTTTCAAATTTCGGTTCCGAAATTTCCTATTTTTGATTCAAAATTCCAATTTTCGCTCCCCAAATTTTCTTATTTCAACTCTCAAAATTCCCCATTTTAAACCTGAAATCTGGCTCTTAAAATCTTAAAATTTCCATTTTTTGAGTTTTTTTTTTAATTTCTAAAATATTATCTCTCTAACTTATTTTTTCTATTTCTTCACCTATTTTTATACTATTTCCCTCTAAAAATTGTGTGTGAAAAACCACCCAAAACCAATGAAAATGCTAATTCCCACCCCCCTTTTCCACCATTTTCCCAATTTTTATCAGTTTTTTATCACTGATTTCATATATCTCCGCCTTTTCCTCCATTTTTCCCGAATTTTAACCTAATTCTCTCAATTTCAGAGTCCTTTTTGGGGACTTCTTGTGGTTAACGCAAAATGGGTCACATTTCCGGAAAACAATGCCCCATGGTGCTGATTATCCGGCTCTTGTTACAGGTAATTTTGAATGTTATTATTAAATTGGTTGAAATTGGCTGAAATTGACTCAAAATTCCAGAAAAATCGAAAAAACGCCTTTAGAATTCTGCTAAAATTCATTCTAGGGGTTTCAGAGCTTAAAATTGCAAATTTTGAAAACTTGAGACTTTTAAAATTGAAAAAAGCGCTGAAAATGACTATTTTCAACCAGAATCTATGATTTTCAAGCCTTTTTTCCACTGAAAAAATCTCGAATTGATGGCTGTAAATTCCAGAAAAATCTCGAAAAAGAGCCTTTAAAATTCTGGAAAATAATTTTTTTGAGCTTAAAATTAAATACGAATTATCGAAATTTGAAAACTTAAAAAATTTTCAAAAATCAAAATTGAGCTGAAAATTTGAGCTAAAAAACTGAAATTTGACTGAAAATGAGCTGAAAATCAAGGAAAATTGTCTAGAATGCGCCTAAATTTCGATTGCTCAGCATTTAATTTTTTTTGAAATTTCAAATTTGGTCCATTTCGACCGATTCTGGGCTTTTTAGAATCAGAAAAAAAATTTTTTCAGATTTTCAGTCAGAATAAACTAATTTTCCCCTTCTTTTACAGCTCTCCTCGACGGTTTCTGCAGAATTGACACGTTCGATGTCTGTCAGTTACACACCACAATCGATTCACGATTTGGAGGAGTACGCATCGACGAACGTCACTGCTACCGTACAATTTCCGAAGGAGGAATTCGAAGCGGACAATATTGAGAAGTATCTTCTCAATGTCAAGTGAGTCTGAAAAATACAGAAAATTCCAGACATTTTCGTCCAGAAATCAGTATTCTAGGTCGGTTTTGAAGACAGTTATGAGCGATTTTTATTTTTCGCTGAGGCTTAGGATTTATTACTGAGGCTTAGAATTTTTTACTGAGGCTTAGGATTTTCACTGAGGCTTAGAATTTTTACTGAGGCTTAGGAACTCTTACTGAGGCTTAGAAATTTTTCCTGAGGCTTAGGAATTTTTACTGAGGCTTAGGAATTTTTTACTGAGGCTTAGGAATTTTTACTGAGGCTTAAGAACGTTTTTACTGAGGTTTAGAAATTTTTACTGAGGTTTAGGATTTTTACTATGAATTTCCTCATTTTCCAGCTCATTTCATCCGGAAACGGCGACGGCGGAGTATGGAGAAAAGCTGAAAACTGAGCAATTTCGACTGAACGGTCAATTCTATGAAACGGAGACGATTATCACAATTAACGGGAATCTTTTGGGCAAGACGGCGATGAAAGTTCGACTGGTGCCGGCTGCCACGTGGAACGAGACTGATTTCGCTGCTGAAGAGACTATGGCGAAGGAAGAGACGCAGAGAAGTAGTAATCGAGATTCGTGGTTGGATGTATGGGTGGTACGGTCGGCGGAGTCCAGAAGATTGACTGTCTATTTCGTCATTTCTGTAGTGGTGTTGATTTCGATGGCCAATGTTATGATGGGGTGTGAGGTGAGAATGACTGAAAACACTCTTAAAAGGACTGAAAAATGAGAGAAATGGACCTAAAATTGTCTAAAAAGCCGAAAAATTCTATGAATTCTGAAGTCCCAGAACAGCAACGTCTTCTTTTCCAGCTCGACATCGAATCTGTAATCGCAACGCTCAAAAAACCAGTCGCCCCAGCGATCGGCCTCTTCGCTCAATTCATAATCATGCCTCTGCTCTCGTATCTCATCGCCTATGCCATCTTCATGCCACGTGGATTGTATTCAATGGCCCTGGGACTTTTCGTCACTGGATGCTCGCCAGGAGGCGGAGCTTCCAACTTCTGGACACTTCTCCTAGATGGAAATCTGAATTTATCAGTAACAATGACTTTTATTTCAACGATATGCTCATTGGTGATGATGCCTGCCTGGTTGTACTTCCTTGGACATCCATTCCTGCAGGGATTCAATTCAGAAGCCGTTATCAAAGTCCCTTATGGAAAGATTGCTAGTCAGCTGGTCACGCTGATTCTCCCGTTGCTCATTGGAATCGCAATCAAGAAATTCAAGCCAGAGTGGGCGGCGAAGGCTCGGAAAGTGATGAGACCGTTTGTGATCTTTGTTATGATCTTTGTTGTGATCTTTGGATCTCTAACCAACCTCTACATGTTCCGAATGCTCACTGGACCCGCGTTGATCGGAGGTCTCGCCCTTCCATGGTGTGGATTCATGTTCGGGTGCTTCACGGCTCTTCTAACCAAACGGAAGCCAGAAGACGTCACTGCCATCGCCGTGGAGACTGGAATTCAGAATACGGGGATCGCGATTCTGCTTCTGAAAGCGTCGTTCGGACAGCCGGATGCCGATATTGGGTCGTTGATTCCGGTGATTGTGGCGGCGTTCACACCGGGACCACTGTTGTTGGGTGCTGCTGTTCATTTGACATTCAAAGCGTTGAGGAATCGGAGACAGAAGGTTGGTCGGGCGATTTTGAGCCATTCTGTGGTCTAAAACCTTTGAAAAATCGATTTTCCGCTCAAATAATCAGCCAAACTTGTCATTTTAGGGCCAATTTTTTAGAGTGCAATTCCTACAGTAATCCTGCATTCTGAATTTCACCCAAAACCCGTCATTTTCAGTCGTTTTCCACCGAATTCTTTATGAAAAAATTCCAAAAAAATAGCAAAATCTGGATAAATAGCAATTCCAGTCGTATTGGTGGAAAAATCACATTTCTAGCGCGATTTTGAGCAAAGTTACAGCGAATTGTAGTTTTACTGAGGCTTAGGAATTTTTACTGAGGCTTAGGAATTTTTACTGAGGCTTAGGATTTTTACTGAGGCTTAGGAATTTTTACTGAGGCTTAGGATTTTTACTGAGGCTTAGGATTTTTTACTGAGGCTTAGGATTTTTTACCGAGTCTTAGGATTTTTACTGAAGTCAAATCAGGATTGCTCAGCATATTCTGAACAATAAAACCTCGATTTTCAAACTTTCCGCCACTGAAAACCCCAGAAAACAATTTACCGTAAAACCTCTAATAGAACGACACCCGGATCGTCCACTTTGAGCCTATATATCTCATTTTCTGTGAAAGATATCAAAAAGTGGTTAACTAGTAAAATGTTGCTGATATCCTGATAAACATTTTACTAGTTAACTACTTTTTGATATCTTTCAAAAGAAGTGAGATATATAGGCTCAAAGTGGACGATCCGGGTGTCGTTCTATTAGAGGTTTTACGGTAAGTTGCCACCGGTGGGATTCGAACCCGGGACCTCTAGATCCAAATTTTTCCTCGAAAATCCCACTGAGCCATCTAAACAATTTTCGAAAATCGTCTTTTTGGGCGTTTTTCGGGGACTTGAGCTGATTTTAAGCGATTTTTCAAAGCGAGGATCCAAAATTAACTGATTTTTCCGTCATTTTCAGTCTCGTTGCGATTCGGAGTCGATCGAAAAGCAAGCTGTCGAGCTGATCGATGCCTCGAAACTCACCGAGCAACAGAAATTGACAATTTCCAGTTCCAGTCTTCCGAACGATCAATATGAGAGCTTATTGGAGCATAATACACCTATTGTGACTGCAAAATAACGTTTTTTCCATCATTTTCAGAGCTTTTTTGCCCCCTTTCTGTCATTTTTAGGCCATTTTTAGAGATTTTTATGTTAATTTTCACATAGATTTTTTTCTGGTGTTTGTGTGTTTTTTTGTGTGCTTTATTGTCATCCCATTTTCACTCTCCCCGGCTGGTCCTTTATTAAATTGAAAAATAGAGAAAAATATGGAAAATTTCGGGGGGCGGAGCTTGGGAAATTAGAATTTTTAGCTCTAAAAATCTGATTTTCAAAAAAAAGCGAAAATTTTGAAAACCTAAAAAACCTGAAAACCCCATTTTTTGGACTAAAAAATCTGGATTTTTTGATATTCATGGCTCCACCCCTTTTTTCTCCTTGCGGAAATTTGGGGGCGGAGCTTAGAAAATTTCAGTTTTTTTCGGCTGAAATGGATTTCTAACTTTTGAGTTTTTGGAAATTTTTGATATTCAAAAAAATCTGAAAAAATTCGGATTTCAAATTGAATCTCTTGGCTCCGCCCCTTGGGGAAATTTGGGGGCGGAGTTTAGCTTAAAATTTTGATTTTTGAACTAAAATTTGACATTTTAAAGTCTTAAAATCCTTAAGAATTGAACGAAAAATGTTTTTTTTTAATTAAAAAAATCTGGAAACCGAAAAATAGGCTCCGCCCCCTTTATTTTCCTCTTTTTTCTTCTTATTTTTCCCTAAAACCTGTAATAGAATGGCCCCCTGACTTTCAACTTTGAGCCAATTTATCTCGGTTCGTGACAAAGATATCAAAACTCTGCAAACTGATAAAATGTTTATCATAATATGAGCTAAATTTTATCGGTTGACAGATTTTTGATATCTTTCATAGGAACCGAGATAATTGAGCTCAAACTTTACAGTAAGGGGGCTCTTATATTACGGGTTTTACGGTATCTTTTTTCACCCGATTTCCATCTCTCTCTCTCTCTCTAGTCTCTTTAGTTTGTTTCTTTTTCTCTCTAATTGCTCACCCCAATCAATTTTTTCTTGCATCCCAGTTGGTCCCAAAAAATCCCGAAAAATTTAAATTTTCTAGTACAGGTGCCACATTTTCTCTATAAAAACTCATTATTCTCCGATTTTCAGCGTTTTTCAGTCTTTTTTTTTGGCTCTTTTCTATTTTGATCTCACTTTTTTCCCCTTCCGCAATTCTCGATTTTTTCCTTTTTTTGGTAATAAAAAGAGCTGAATTTATGATATTCCCTCCCAATTTTTTGTCCATTTTTGCAGAAAAAGCGGCAAAATGTTGCCGTTTTTACTGCCTCCTACTGAAATTTTCAGCCAAAAATCGATTCTAGAAAATCTGAAAATTTTGAAAAACTAAGTTGAAAAAATTTAAAAAATTCAAAAAATATTCCAATTTTTCAAAATTTCCAAATTTTTGTAAAATTCAAAAGTCTCAAAATTCTGAGTAAATTTAGCACAAATGTTCCTACAAATTCAAATTTCTAAAGAATCTAGTGACTCCATGTTTTTTGTAGTGGTTCCCTCCAATCTATGGAAATGTGCTCTCTCTGAAAGCTCCGCCCACTTTTAGCTCCTCTAGGGGCTCACAAGCAGAGAACTCATTCTCCATCTTATATAGACAGTGATTTATTGCTCTGTCTCGTTTCTCTGCGTCTCTCTCTCTCTCTCTCTCTCTCTCTCTCAATAAGAAAAAAGAGTAGTACTCTGTTGCTGCAGAAGCTAAGAAGCTAAGAAAAAAGTGTCTAATCAATCAGTATATCCGCTCCGAGCTGCTAGCTCTGGTGTAATGATAAAGATGACTCACTTTTTTTTTTGAAAGAATAAAGTTCTCTGGAAGGTTCTGGAGAGATCCAAGAAGATGCAGAGAAGAGCACAGTTGTCAAGTTCGTTTTGCGATTTTTGTAGTCTTGAATCATTGGCAAGAATTCTAGATTTTCAAATTCTAAGGCTTTTCTGGGAAGCCTGAGACTCCATAGACAAGATCTTGAAGCTACTAGATCTGAGATTCCGCTTCCTGAAAAGCTCACAGACACGATTTTGGAGCTCTTGAAGTCTTCAGAAGGTTTTAAAGGTGGGGGGACAGGAGATTTTACGGGGGATTTTTGGGGCCAGAGTATGCATTCTACCGTAACGGTGTACAACGCTTAATGTCACTCTGCGTACAGCTGTCGTCCTCGCCTTTATGTATGCAATCGGGCGCCCGCTCCAGTTTCTCCCGCATGGCTCAGTCGGTAGCGGCGCCGCACCCTCAATCATCGCCCTCACAAGTTCAACTCCTCGAGGGGCATCTTTGAACGGAATTTCGAGAACATTATTTTTTCATGACCCCCCCCCCCACCTTTAAGAATTTTTAGAGATTTTTAAGTTTCTGAAATCTCTTTCCTTTTCGAATCGGTCTAGCTAGCCCGACAGCCTAGCTGCATGACGAAGTACCACAAGACACAACCTTCAGGTACTGCTAATTTTGGTTTGAAGTTTGATTTTTTTTCAAACTTCATTGAGGATTTTTCGGAAAAACTAAATCCAGTTTTTCGATCTTGGTCCCTCAAAATTCAGTCAATTCTTTGCCTTCTGTAAATTACCTTTAATTTTAACCAGTCGGTTTACGCCTCCTGGCCTCGCCCTTCCTGCACACCACCCTGTAGTGACGGAGCAAGTTTGACGAATTCTTCGTCAAACTAGCAACAGAGTACTACTCTTTTTTCTTATTGAAAGAGAGAGAGAGAGAGAGAGAGACGCAGAGAAACGAGACAGAGCAATAAATCACTGTCTATCAGACATGAGCGGAATCCCTTATTCCTTATTCCTTATTCCTTCTTCCGAGTTTTTTAATTTTGTTCCTTATTCCTTCTTCCTTCTTCCTGGTTTTTTTTTGTTATTCCTCTTCAAAACTTTAAAACTTTTTCTATCAAAAATCAGAAAAAAATTCTCAAAACTAGGAAAAAAAATTTGAACGCTCTAAATTGCCGCGTAACATTATGTTCAGCGGAGCACCTTTGCACCGTTTTTCGAAAAAAAATTTTTTGAAATCTTGGAAAAGTTATGATTTTTTCTCAGTGTTTTTTTCGAAATAAATTTGGTTTTTACAATTACTAAATACTTCAGAAAAAATGTCTAAAAAACGGAGCAAGTTTGACGAATTCTTCGTCAGAACAGAAAAGGAGTGTGTCGGGCCTCATCTGTACCCCAAAAAGAAGCCGATTGAATTACGACACTGTTGACAAATTAACTTTTTGTTCACTCAATTTAAAAAATTATGGCCTTAAAAACTGATAATTCACAATTATGATTTTGTTTTTTAGTTTTTTAATTCTAGTTTGAAAGTTCCTCTCCATTTTTCTTATTTGTGTCTCGGTTTGTGAGTTCTCTCTTCGTTTTTCGTGTTTTAAAATAAACAGTGTTTTTCAAGACAAAATGAAATCTTCCTTCGTTCGGAAATTCTTTCCTTCCTTATTCCTTATTCCTGATTTTCAACATTTTTATTCCGCTCATTTCTGTTGTACAGTAACAGGGAGTTACGGTTTGGTGTCCATTGTTATTTTCCGATTGTACTGTCTCAAATATCAGAAAACTAAAATTTTGAAAATTTTCATGTCTGTCCTCCTTTAAGACTACAAACCTTTCTTGTCCGATCTTGACTCATCAGAGCGCTCAGAAACGAGTTAGTAGGCTTCCTATCTTCATTGCCGGAATATAATTTTGGAACCTTGCCTAGATCCTCTAGCTTCCAGAAGATGGTACTGACGAAGCTTCATCATAGTATTCTTCTTGATTCTAAATTTTCTAGATCATGCCAAGGTGTCCGATTCTCGATGCCTTCGAAAAGTGCCCATCAATCTCCCTCCCGTAGAATTCTACCCCTCGAACTTTCGATGTGTCCTATTCTTTTTCCATCCTTCTATTCTGCTCTACATGTGACACCAGCTGCTCTTTTCGTCTCAAAAAGACGAAGAAGAGGCCCGTGCTCATGGTGCCAGACACTACCATCAGGCGTTTGTCTAGATACACTAAGGACCCCCCCCCCCCTACCTAGATTTCGCGCATTTTAACCGCCCATTTTTAGAGGGGTAGGCCAGCTGGGCAGGGGAAAATTATCTCATTTTTTTGTCGAGGCTCTTTGGGCACTATTTGAGGCTAGCTATGGCTACCGTATCTCTCAGGAAGCTCGGCTCCTCAGGCAGTTGTGCTCTTGCTCGAGGAAGCTACAGGGGTACCGTATCCCAAGATCCTTGATTTATAAAGCAGTTCCTCAAAGTTTCTATTGAGATACCTAGATGAAGTCACAGCGATCAGATCCAGGATCTCAAGCGGCGTCGAGTTATCTAGTTCCAGGACCTCAAGAATCTTAAGCCTCAGTAAAAGTGAAGTTTAAAACGTTTTTTTCCCAAGATGCAATTGCTGAGGGAACTAAGCTACCGTATCGCAGGATATGGGTCATGCCACAGCTAGATAAGGTTGAGGATCTCAAGAAATACATTTTACTGAGGCTTAGAGCTTTTTAAAATGAACCCCGTTCATCTTCGCATGGAAGCTTGGCTCTATATCCATAGCTACCGTATCCCCCAGGGGCTTCTACCCCACAACAACCGCGTCCTCTTCCCCTGTCTACAAATCCCAATTTTTTGGATTTAGTATAGTTGGGAAGAAGAGGAGGGTGTGACTCTGTTATTTTTCGCTGGCGATAATTATGATATATGGAGAAGCAGGAGACTAGTGATTAGGGGGTTAGAAGGGAAAGAGTCGTGTGACTATGAAGACGTTAACTTCATAAAAGCCGTGGGTTGATCTATCGGGAACACTGTAATAGAAGTCCACAGAACCCGTCAAATTTTATCCCAATGTTCTCAGTTCTTATAAGAGATATCAAAAAGTTGTCAATTGATAAATTATTTATCATAATATCAGCTACATTTTATCAGTTGACAAATTTTTGATATCTTTCACAGGAATTGAGATAATTGAGCTTGAAGTTGGCGGTTTACGGTGTATAAGCCTGGCCAGATCTCATGATTCTAGATG